ATACCTACCTGGGAGCCAGAGTTGCATACCAGAACCATGAAGCTCTCAACCTGCAGCACCGACTGCACCTTGGCTGGCAGGCCTACTGGCGACTGGCCAAGGTCCTCCGCTGTCGAGCACTGACCCTAGACAGCAAAATCCGCGTCTGGAAGACATGTGTCTACCCGGGCGTCCTTTACTCCCTGGAGGCCACAGGCATCACCTACCACTCCCGCACCCTCCTCTCTCAGTTCGTCCACGCTCAGCTCCGCCTCATCCATAAATTACCGGGCCACATCACCAAAGTTACCTCCCACGACCTACTCCTCAGAAGCCAACTCGACCCGCCAGGCGACACCCTTGACCAGCGGATCCAACGACATCTCCAACAAGCCCCGGAGTTTCCAACTGCGGCGCAGGAAACCTGGTTCGATCTGCTGCAGGACTACTCGACGACGCCTGCTGTCTCTGCATCCGACCCCTCTGCCTCTATGACCCCTTCTCGGGGAGGCTCTACTCGCGCCCACCTCAAGCCCATCAGCAGCGTTCTCAGCTATCGGCCACTCAACTGCCCAATCTGCGGAGTTGGCTATAGCACCCTTCAGGCCGTCCGTCTCCACATGCGGAAGTCCCATCACACTCAAGTACGACAGGCACCTGCCTCCTCGTACTTGCGCCCAGCTCCTGCTCAGGCTCCGGACCCAGATCACGCCTCCTCTACTCCAGCCGTCATGATGGACCCAGATGCTACCACGGCCCAGGCCTCGCTACCTGAATTCGCGGCAGATGAACATGCTCTGTTTGTTTGGCAGCATGGTCGAGAAGGTCTCCCACAGTGTCGACACTGCCTCCGACAGTGTGATTCGTGGCATAACCTACGAATACACATCTCCACCAAATCCTGCCGAACTTTGGTCCCAGACGGCTTTAACGCCCTACCCCCAAAACACAATCTCAACCCGACTCCACTGTACCACAGGCCTGAATGTCAGCTTTACCTAGTCGGAAGTTGGGAAAGGCTCGCCTCCTGGCTGAAAAAGATGCTCCCTCAGGCAGTCCATCACTGCCCGTACTGTCACCAGTGGCTGACCCAAGCGCGTGGCCTTCGAGCTCATATTAAAGCCAAACACTCCCCAATGATCCCCTGCTGTGAAGAGGCAGTCCAGCGCATGCAATCCCACCGCAGGCTTTTGGCCCTTGGTAGCACCTGTCGCTACTGCAGCCTTACCCTAACAGGAGCGCCCATCAAGCACGCCACTGAGTGCGCAGTTCTGTTTCTGGTTCACTTGCTACAGGCCACGCATGCGCAACATCATTCGAATCACCTGCCTCAGGTCCGCGATGACTCTCCCCTCGATGTTCAATGCGCACCAAGTGAGCCCGGAAGACCTGGAAGAAGCCACTCAGGAGCTCAAGAGCATCGAAGCGCAGGTCCGGCTGATACCCAAGCAGCCCCAGCCCCTGATGGCCCCAACGACACTGATGAGCGAACCCCCACCTCAGGGAGGCATGCCGGACTCCTCGAATCCCCCATCGACGGAAGTCCCCGACAGACCTTCCAAATGGCAGAGGGACAACAGCAAAGGAGCCACCCAACCAGGCAAGGGAAAGGGCTCAACAGGCCGTGGAGCCCAGGGCCAACAGAACCCTGCCAACCGCCCTCCACCTCAGGGAGGCCCGCCAAGACGTCAAGGAGGTCGCCCCTCCGGATACCACCCCCAACCCCCGTGGCAGCGACAAGGACAGGGATACGGGCCTTCTTCAGGTCCCGACCTCACTCTCATGTGCCACACCATGGCCAGACTCCTCATGAGACACGAGGACGCTCTCTCAGTCCTCCAGCAATCCACCACCTGGATCCTCTTCCTCACGACTCAGCCCCCGGGCACTGTCCTCCCCAAGCTGTTCGCCACAGCCCAAGGATGGCACGAGCTGCGGTGGAACGACCCGGAATCCATCACCCATCCGATGCGCATCATTCTGTGGCAGAAACTGATGCTCGAGCTGTCTCAGCGTGCCCAGAAGGTCATCGACCAGGAGGATGCCCGAGAACAGGCGATTCAAATGGAGCTCTACAACCCGACCACGGGGTTCGGCTACCGCAAATGGAACAACAAGGAGGGTGTGATGCAGCCCATTCCCGATCGCGAACCGCTCACGGCACAGAAAGTGGTGGAGATTGCCAAGGAGCTAGCGACGCTGAGTGTCCAACCGCAACTGCTCAACAGGTTCCATGCCACTCGCCAGCTGGAGGAGAAAATGGAAGGCAGCACAGTGACCTGGCTATTGGAAGTGGGCTGGAGGGGCGAGCACACGGCTCGCTTCTGGGAGCTGCTCCAGCTCCTTTCACACAATTCCTCTCTTCTGATGATCGGTTGCACCCTTCGTCCGGATCGCCTCCAACGATCAGCCTTGGCCCAACAGCTGCAGACCCTCCTCCAGTCCATGCACATCCCTATGCCGAGACAGCCGCCGAGACCTCAGCCCTGCTCCCGACATTGCAGCTCCGCAATCCTTCCAACTACTGTTACTCCCATGCCTGCCTTTTTATCTATCTTTGGCTTGTGTCCCAAATCCCCTCCTCCTTTCAGGTACTGGACAGGGAACCGTTGAGGAGCTTCATCGCCCAGGCGCGCAAACAACAACCAGTGACACTCTGGTCGCTCCTCCCGTGGAGGCAGGCAATGCGACGCTGGTCCAACCCAGCCAGGCAACATGATGCAGCGGACTTCCTCCTCCACTTACACCAAGTCCTCAATGCGCCCTGCTTCCAGGGCCTCTGGCAGTCCTTTGACGACAGCCACATGCTTCAAGATGAAGGCGGGGTCTGCCCACTCATACTTTCAGGAATGCAAGATGCCTCTGCCACAATTGCCACCACTGCCCAGTCCTGCATCAATCGCTGGCATTCGCAGAAACGTCGCCACGCCCTGATTGCAGGTACTGAAGCTGTGGCTGTAGAGCTCAACCGCTTTCGCAATGAACAGGGCATTGCATCCAAACGTGACCATCGCATAGATGCTGATCCAGAAGTCCTTTTCCCGCAATGGACTCCCTCTTCCCCTGAAGGTATCATTTGGAGAACGTATCAGCTTCAGGCGATTGTCCAGCATATCGGACCGACCACGGTCAGTGGGCATTACCGTGCTGCACTCAAACCTCGTTCCGGAACTGCCGGCCCTTGGCACTACACTGAAGACAACAGTGCTGCACAATCAGTCCTCCCTGCTGCCTTGTCCCAAACAAGTTATATCCTCATTTACCGGATGAGGAGTGCTGCAACTTCCATCTAGGCCCTTCGGGGCAGTCTAGCTCTGTAGCTAGGTGAGTCGATCCAATCGAGATCGAGCGCCACAGTGCGCCGGGTGACCCCGCTCGAGTCATCGCAATGCGACCTCACCGTCCGCAGCGATTGTGATGATACTACTAGTGCTGCTGCTGCGCCTATTACTCCTACTACTACTACTACTACTACTACTACTGCCACTGCCACTGCCACTGCCACTGCCATAGTACTATACTACTACTACTACTACTACTACTACTACTACTACTACTACTACTACTACTACTACTACTACTACTACTACTACTACTGCTGCTACTACTACTGCTTGTACTTCTAGTTCTTCTTCTACTACTACTACTACTCCTGCTGCTGCTGCTGCAGTTGCCACTAATCCGACGACTACGACGACGACTACAAATACTACTACTACTACTACTACTACTACTACTACTACTACTACTACTACCACCACCACCTTGTACTCCTACATCTCTTCTTCTGCTACCGCTACTGCGATGACGAAGTTTGCTACTACCACCTTCACACAACAGCGACTTGGAACATTTCTTTGCGTATGCTCTCCCGGGATTTGGTTGCTTGCTGGCCACGCCCTCCGAACAAAGGACTCTCGAAATCGAGACACCGGGCACAGCGCTGGCAACGTTTTGAATTTTGTGCTGGGTTTGAAGATCTATGTGAGGTTGCCCCTGTACGAGGATGCCACTATCTAAAGCTTAAGTTTGCTTTGTTGTGATTCCTTTTTTCCTTCAGTCTTTTGAGAGCGGGCCGAACATTCCACGAATCCTGACTTCACGAGTCACGCAGACTCAAAGTCTAAGTCCGAACCCCAAGACCCAAAGCGCCCTAGGCATGAAAACCCCCCAGACGACAGTAAACCCAAATCCAGGACCGTGAAGATGGTGGCCGAGGCCTACCCAGCTGCGCTCTTTCAGCCCGTGGGTGGCAAGGTTCGCGGGTTTGCTGGGGGACGGCGGGCCTTGCTTTCTTGTCTCGAGTTTCGGGCTTTTGGGGGTCTAGGGAGTGGGATGCGGTGCCTTGGTAAGTTTCCAGCCATTTGGGCAATATTGAATGGTTGTCGCATTGGGGTGCTGAAGGCTGGTTTCTTCGAAGCTTGATGGGCTTTCAATCTCATCATATTGGAGTTGATGGCTCAGGGCCGCACATCCTCGAAGAGCTCGGCCGACGAATAGATCAGGTGCCAAGCCTTATCTCCAGAGGAATCCCAACATTCTGCGTTGAATGAAACCACATCGACAGGCAGCGTTGCTTCAAAATCCTCCTGCGTCATATTGCGGACTTGCAGTTTAGGATCAGTTCCCGATCAGAATACTTCGTTGCATGCCCCGACGTTCACACAGAGGTTTGCGTTGGCCGGAAGGCTTTGCGTTTACGAGTTGAGGATTCAGGTGTGTAGGGCTCACCGTGCACGAGCAAACCACAAGCGAGGGCTTCAAAGAGTGATGCAACAGTTAGGATCGAGAGTCGATGTTTTCGGTGTGTGCGGGTTGTGATGGCTTGGGTCCATGTTGCAGACTTTAGGGTCTGGAGTCTTGTCGTCCTCAGACCAAGCTCCTGCAAACGCACTGCAGACTCTCAACCCACGGCCGAGCCTCTTACGTCGTGTGTCCTACACCCCACGGCCTGTACTCCAAAGCAGGCCGGGCGGAAACTGCCTGTGAAGTGCGCAAGCCACAACGAGAAGACACGGCGAATGTTGGAGGCACCTCAACTCGCAGCTTGGGTTTGGACAAAGCCGGAATCGCACCGCATGTTACTCACTTCGCTGGTCTATTGCTCTGCTGTCTTTTGCACATTCGAGCACTGCTGGTGTCAGTTGGTTGATAGTTTCCCAACTTAGTCAACCCGTGCACACCTGCATGGCCTCCCCCAGATCCAAAAGCGAGCGCAAGCCGAATCATCCATCCTAGCTGTCCTAGCTTTGCTCTGAAAAGCCGATGTCACCAAGTTCATGTGGCCGTGAGCTGCAGGAGCTCATGTACCAGCACATCTGCGACGTCTGTGACCAGGTGAGCAGCGAGAAGATCGCGGATGTCTTGAACCTAATGAGGCCTTCGCATAAAGTGTCAGCTGGCCAGGGACAGGAAAGTGCTTACGTGATAACAGCTGAGAACGATCAGACTCGGCAAGCACACCTGCGGACATCTGCAGGCGGCATAACTATAGTTCTGCATGGTTCGACGGCGACAGCTAGCGCAGCGCCCGTGGCGACCACAACGGCTGTCGCTACTGCGCCTGCCCAACCAGGACGACGATATCTCTGACCACTTGAGCACTTGAGCGTTGTGTCTGATTTTTTTTTGACTGAGGCAGGCCCCAGCGACCTGCCGCTTAGCTAAAGCCCCAAGGCCCCAAGAGCCCAAGGCCCCCAGAGCCGATCAAGAGCCTCGGCACCTTCGAGACATCTCCAAGGGCAAAGCGCCAACATCCAACAGCCGAGCCCTGCACGAATTCCTAAGCCTAAACCCCTAAATCATGTAAAAGAAAAGTTGAAAGCTCCACGGTAGTCCTGATAGACACCTGAGCCCCTACGCCTTCCACCCTGACAGAAGCCTTAAGAGACCCCCTTAAGGAACCCTTGAAATGGCCCAATGAGAGCAAGGATCCAACAAATAGATCCCTTAAACAGATTACTATGCACTACCCTTTAGTAGTCTAGCTTCCCAAACTAGGCTACCATACAATACCCTTTAGTATAGTACTATAGTACTACAGTAGTATAGTAGTATAGTAGTATAGTAGTATAGTAGTATAGTAGTATAGTAGTATAGTAGTATAGTAGTATAGTAGTATAGTAGTATAGTAGTATAGTAGTACAGTATAGTAGTAGTATAGTATAGTAGTAGTATAGTATAGTAGTAGTATAGTAGTAGTATAGTATAGTATAGTATAGTATAGTATAGTATAGTATGGTAGTATAGGTTCCGTTTCTGTTTTCAGCCCGGGAAGGCTGGCGACTGAGTTCGAGAAGATCCGCACGATTAGCCCACGGGAGCTGGACAGGTGGGGCAGCTTTGTTGTCGCAGGGCTCAAGGGCTTCAGGGGGTTTAGGGTGATAGGGTTTAGGTGAAAGTTTAGGCCTTCATTGTTAAGTTTAGTCGAGGGCTGAAGCTTATGGCTCCCCGGTGTAGGGTACAGCGTTTGGCTAGAAGATTTGCTGCTTTTTTAAGCTTTTTTGTTCAGGGTTTACGGACTCAGGCTTTGAGCCTGTGTTGGCTCCTTGGTTCTGGGCAGCTAAGCAGAGGAGTACCGGACTGAAGCAAGAATCGAAGAAAAAGCTGTGGTTTCTGAAGCGCCGGCCTGGACCAAAAGTGATAGCAGGTTCTGAAGCCTTCTCAGGGACAAACAAAGCACATAAGCAACAACTTTGGTCACCTACACCCCCTTTTGGGAGACATTGCCTTGAGCGGTTTATGGTTAGGTGTTTTTTGGGTTTTGGGGCTTCTACAATCTGTCAAGCTTCGTAATGCGGCATTCCTGTGTTTCTGGCAGTTTCGTGTGCGCAAGTGTAATCCTCAGGCAGTTGAAGGTGGTGAGTGCCGTTTAACTTCCAGCAGAATCCTGCGAAAGCGGTAGACCGTGTAGAGAAGCAGGGGGCACCCTATACTCTAAACAAACCTCACCTTCAGCTTGCTTGTACATGCCCTCCATACAGGGGGCGAGCCACAGACATGGTCTCTCGGGCCTTCGACAAGGCCCCGCTGATAACTGAGGGATTCATGTTCAGCATCTTTACCATAGTTAAAACCTAGCGGTTTAGGGGTTTGGAGTTTAGGGTTTAGATACCTGTGACTGGTGTGTCATCAACACATCCAATCAAGGACCAAAAGCATCGTGTTTCGAGTGACAGCTCACTTGTTTATTGGAGACCAACATGGGTGGTTGTCAAAATTATGGTCCCTTCCTGGGTACCCTAAATATTAGGTGCCGTACTACAATAACGACCCAAAAAGGGACCCTAATTTTGACAACCACCCACATGATTAGCACATCATGCCTGCCCTCGTCCACATCAGCATCTTCATCACCATCATCGCAGTATCACAGTACGTAACGGATCATGGGACTTAGTAATTGGGGTTAGAAGTAAGGTAACTACAGTTATAATTACTTATAACCTCAATTAAAGTACTTAATAACCCTACTTAGTAAGTCCCATGATCCTTTAAGTAGACCAAGGCCTGTGGGGAAATGCTTCCAGGGACTGTTCAAGAGATTCGGGTCTTGGTTTTGACATTTCGTTACGTTTCCGGTGCTCCGTGGCCCTTTGCTTGGAGGTTCATGGGTAGTTATAAGTATTACAAGTGGGTTATAAGTCTCTTAATATGGGTTATAACTATAGTTCCCCTACCTATAAGCCCACTTACAACTACCCATGAACCTCCGAGTGTGACTTCTTGAGACTTCCTGGACATCAACAAGCAAGATTGCAACAACTTGTCGGTGCACGGCTTGTCATACGCCCCATGAAAGAAGTCAGATTGACATGTCAGAGTAGTGGTAATTCGTAGAAGGTCGTCAGGCTGCTCCTAACCTAGACACATCTCTACACCCGAGACCTTGCACCTTCTAGCTTGTCTATTCGCGGGAGAGTGCTTAGCTCAGGTCATCCGCCACTTGAAAGATCAGAGCGAGTCCGTCGAGCGGCAATTTGCCGCCCTACCTGAAGGTTTCGGGTTCCAGGATGTAGCATTCAGTTTTGTAAGGCGTTTCAAAAGGCTTTATGTGGCATTGATCGGGCCTCAGAAGCATGTGACTTCGGTAGTAAAGGTACTATAAGTTTTGTTACTATAATCTTATCCCTGGGTGCCGTAAGCTTCTTTTTCATTCTACGTATCGTTATGAGCGGTATTTGAAGCAGCGCAGAATCAGATGTTCAGGACCAAACGAATGATTCCACGGGTGCTGTGATGACTCCATGCGTAATGTCGTCTCGGTTCTGTGATGATGTCAGTGTTTCTGACCGTGACGACCCTACCTCGAAGCTTTATCGTTGGCCATGATGTGACCAAAGTCGAGGTCGTCGAAGGAGCCATGGACCTCCTAGCTAACCAGAACTGAACTCCTGAGAGGGATCTTTGGCTAAAGCTACCATAAGAGGGAGTTCATCAGCAAAGTTAAGTTCCCTGCCAAGCACGCAGTAAAAGAGCCACCCATTGAACCAACACAGGCAATGCTGAAGAACATCATTTATATAGGCTTTATCCGGGTCTTCTAGGGGGAGAAAGCTCTTGCATAGTGTTTTGGGAACGGGTTGGAAAGGAGTAGCGACCGATAAAGGGATTTGTAAGTGCAGCCATGGCGCTCTAGGGCTGTAGGGGTCTTAGGAGTTAGGAATGCAGGTGTCATATTTTTAGGACTTAGGGTTGAGAGCTGAGTGGTGTAAGGTTTAAGGTTGATGCCTTCTTTCTGAGGGCAGGATCCAAAATCGATGAATTTCAAGCCTGAAGCTTTGGCTTTGAATCCCAGGCGACAAAGCCAAGCCCCCCGAAAGCCGCAAAGCCCGACCGAAGCGCTCTCTTGCCGATTGTCCACATGATGCTATTACTATTGTACTATAGTATACTATGGCATATTATCGTATACTATACTATTTTATCATAGTATACTATAGCACTATAGTATACTATGGCATATTTTCGTATACGATGGTATATCATGTTCGTTGTCTTTGGTTTCTCCGAGGCGGAGGAGGCCATCAGCTTCGCGGAGGCGAACCCTCGAGTAGATCTCGGCCGCGAGACGGGGACCAAGGTGGAGGTGCGCACCTTTGGGGTCTCGGGTCATATATAGAACTCCAGAAGGTAATCCCCAAAAGGAACTACTAAGGGGCCTATGGGTAGGCCGGTTTGTGGCTAATGGTTTTCGCGAAGGGTTGTCGGGCTTCAGGTTTGGGGTTGAGGGTTTAGGGCTTAGAGAGTGGAGGCTGCTGTATCACGGATTTTGCTTCGAGCTGCAAGAGACCGAGCGACAGTCCCCGAATTCATCGCCAGGTCCAGTCCATCAGCAACATGGGTGAAGTGCTGAAGAGCGACATTTGTCCGAATTCATCATGGATGTAAGAGCCGTAAGTCTGCAAGATTTCTTCACTGTCCTCCGCGGCCCTGGGCTGCGCCACGGGATACTCGTCCTTTGCTTGTAAATGAGAGTCTTGGTTTGTTGAGTCCATCCTCCACCCTGCTCATGCGAGTTGAGCTTTCAACCAACAAAGCTCAAAATCAAACAGAAGATAGCAACACGGTCAAAGTTAGAACTTGAAGGCATTTGTCACAGCAGGTTAAAACTTGCAAGCACGGTCTCGCAAGCCTGCAGAGCCCACAAGCATGCGACCGGTATCGACCTTCGTACCCTTTGTTCTAACGGCGATCTCGTTAACCAGAAGACGGACAACAACAGGTACGAGAGTGACGACCACGAAGACCACGACCACCATGAAGACCTCAGCATTTATCGTTACTACTACTACTCCTACCACCACCACCACCACCACCACCACTACTGCTACTACTGCTCCTGCTCCTACTCGTACTCCGACTCCTGCTCCTATTCCTGCTCCTACTGCGGCTGTCCCGACTACCACCGCCACAATGGCTACCAGCACCAGCTCTGAGGACTTCTGGGAGCTCTTGAAGTTGGTGAACAGCGGCAAGGAGACCAAGGAGGAGAAGGCCGGAAGCGGAGGCATCTACTAGCAACCCCCTTAACGCAGCCCTCAAAGTATACCAGTTTCTCGCAATCCCTCCAGCACCCTCTATAGAAGCCGGTAAAGTAATCTTAAGCCGTAAACCACAGGGCTGATGCTTCTGAAGACTTGGGAAGAGGTAGGGCACAAGATGTGCAGCTGTTGCTTCGCACGATTGGGGTATGATTAGTCCAGCCCTGCTGATATTAAAGCTGCCGTGAGGTTGGTCAGACTAGCTTCAGTGTCAGCGTCAGCATCAGCCTCAGTGTCAGCATCAGCATCAGCAACAGCAGCAGCAACAAAAACAACAACAAGCATCTGTCGACACCATTATCATCGATGGCCCCCATCATCACCATTTTCATTGGAATCATGGCCTTGTCTGAGGACGGCGACGAGGAGACGGCAAAGGCGGTCAACGACTTGATCAAAGTGTCGCTAGACTCAGACCCACTCAGATCCACAGGAGGCAAACTGTGCGTGGTTGTCGGGTGTTTACGGGGCCTGAGGATGGGGAGTAGGGATTGTTCTGACTTGTGATGAGATTCGCTCACACCGAGAGTTGCGTCTCCATCAAGAGCTTCGCAACCTGGTCGATCTCTTCCTTCACAATGGGTCGAAGGGTCAAAGAGTGTGTTTCCGTCTTGCACCTCTTGCAGGCATACCTCGGAATCATTTTCCAGCTGGTGCCCAGTTTTTCCTTCGAGTGGGATGAGCCTGTATGCTTACGGCCAAGATAGCTCGCAAACCTCGTGTTCCTTGCTTCGACCCTTGCAGCAACTCCTTTGAGGCTGTTGACGGACTTTCCACACCTCGAGATCCCTGATCACAAACCGGTGCTTAAGCTAGGCCGAAAGAAACCAGATGCACAACAAAACTACAATGCAATGTGACCTCTCATTTGTAAATCGAAGATACAATATTGCTATTCCGCTGCTACTGCTATACCCCAAGACACTTAGCCCCACCCCCCAAAGCCCGAAGGAACAGAACCTGAAATCCAAGCTCTAAACTCGTGATAAATACAACAGCCTACTCAACAAGACCATGGTTCAATCACGATGCCTATAGAAAGAAAAGCAAACACCAGTTGTGAATGGAACCGCATCGCACACCCAGAGCAACACTATCCCGCTTCAGAAACCCTTCTTAAGAAACCAGAAGCCTTCTAAAACTCATAAAACTTTAAAACCCTGGGATAAAGCTTAAATCTACAAGAAGAACAAGAAGCTCCTGGAACCACCGTATCACCCACAAGAATCCCGAGTTTCAAAATCCAAACTCTGCCGAACCCTACAATCCGACAGAAACCTTCCATTCGAATGCCCCAACAAAGAGTTCCGGGTTCTAAGACCCTACAAAACCCTGTAGAACCCACTTATAACCCGGAAGCCCGAAAAGCCCAAACAATCCCAAAAAACGACCCCCCGAGAATCCCTATACCGGAATCCCGCACACCTTGTGAATATCACCTCGATTCTTGCATGTGCAGCTTGAGTGCGTGCCTTTGTCATGTGCAGTTTTAGGTGACGGACTTGTATGAAGCTTGTATATGTACTTCCGTTGCCGTGACTTCCCGAAGGGCCCTTGAGCTAAAGTTCAGCTAAAGGCGAAAAAGTAGCATCCAGAGCGCCATTGTACGCTAATTGGTAGCGGAGCTGTGCCCCTCCTAGCGCAGGGTGCAGTTCCAGCTGGCCTTTGGATTTGGTTGTCAGGAGCCAACAGGGCAGGTTGCACTACCTCACGACGGGGAGCACGCCGGACTCCACCAATCACGTGGCTCATGTTCTGAGTTACGGCTCCACAACCATCAAAAGAGTGTGTCGCAGTACACTGGCATCGGAGACTTTCGCAATGCAAACGGAGGTAGAGAACGGAGATCGCTTGAGAGCAATTGTTTGTGAACTTCGAGGCCAGCTGCCAACACTGAAAGGTTGGTTGGAGGAAACGCAGAAGAAAATGCGACATTTGTGGATCACAGACTGTCGTAGCCTTAGTGACCATCTCAACAGCACCCAGATCAACAAGGTCGCGGACAAAAGGCTCGCGATAGAGCTCACGGCCATGAAACAACAATTATGGATTGATGAGGTGGGGTCTTGGAAGCTCTTGTTTCCTAACGGAGACAAACTGAGATGGACAGACACCGCGACTCAACTTGCTGATGCTTTGACCAAAAGCCTTAAGCCATTTCAGTTACTTAAACTGGTGGAGGAGGCGACGGTTCAACTCTCTGAGACAACGCGCAAGTTGACGAAGGACGAGGTGCATGCCATGCAACAGCCGTGATCCGCAGAGCATGCTGTACAGATGAATCCACAGAATAGTGATCTAGTAGTTACCAGGAATTGCAGTCTGGTAGAACTCCTTCAAAATGCACAGTCCCAACGAAGCGGAAACTCCCGTAGCCATACATAGCCGATGAGCCCCAGGCATGCATCAATAAGTAAGACCGGTGTGAATATCACCTCGATTCTTGCATGTGCAGCTTGAGTGCGTGCCTTTGTCATGTGCAGTTTTAGGCGACGGACTTGTGTAAAGCTTGTATATGTACTTCCGTTGCCGTGACTTCCCGAAGGGCCCTTGAGCTAAAGGCGAAAAGGTAGCATCCAGAGCGCCATTGTACGTTAACACCTAAACCCCTTTAGAACCCCAACCCTGTAAGCCCCCTTATGAATTTTCTTTCGAATCCCTAAACCCCAAACTTCAAACCCTAAAGCTTAAAAGCCCTAAAACCTAAACCCAAAGAAATCAGAAATCGGAAACCGTGAACCTTAAAACCGCCAAATCAGGCCGGAGCTAGAGGAGCTTCTGACCCAGGAGATCGCCGCCAGGCCGAGGGACGGCCATTCTTTTCTTCAGGAAGGGGGCGGTTCCTTTGAGGGGTATTATGGGGCGGTTCTTGAACAGGGTTTTATTTCAAGGGTACGACGGGGGAAATTCTCAGATTCTCAATGATAGTTCTATGGGAGCCTTCAAGAGGGTTCTATTGATATGCTTGGGTTCTTTCTGGTGATCTTCTCGGAGGGTGGCTTCAAAAGGGCTCGGTTATGCACATGTTTACAGGGGCTTTTCTTGCAGGGTTTGCCATGGGCTGGTTTTTGCGTGGTTTTGACGGATTGTATGCAAGGTTTTTATGTTCTTTCTGGATTCTCTGACTTAGGGACCCCTTCACGGGTCCTTTCGACGACGATCTTCCCGCTTAAGGTCTGTATTGAGTGACATTGGTGGTCCTGTGCCCATAGGCCCCGTCGTAGCTCCGTTTTGGGATACATTATAGGATTCTACATATGAACCCCAAACAGGAACTGCTATGGGGCCTATGAGTAGGGCCGGGTGGGAGGGTGGGTGGATCGGTGGGTCCAAGGGGTGAGGGTTAGGGGAAGTGTTTCAGGAACTTTGGCTCCAAAGACTTGTGTTCGGTTTGAGGTTTCGGAGACAGGGATTCACTTGCCTTCTGCGCCGATGAGCTCTTGAGGTTTGATGACGTCTAATCAGGTTTCGGACATGTGTGAGGATGTGTCAGAGGGGGGGTAGGGGGGCGGGGTGTAGGGGACTGTGCTTCCTTAAATAGGCCTCATACCCCGTCCCCCTTACCCCCCTAAGGGTCCTTATATTTGTGGGGCTGCAGGCCGGGCAGGTTTCGATTTCTGGAGGTCATGTCGTCATGTTGTATGGTTTTCTGGACACGTAGCCACTGTAGCCATTGCGTTCCGCGGCTTCACCGGTCCCGAAAGGTGGGGGTTCTTGCGATGAGGGGTCCTTCTGAAGTTCTTCCACGAGCGGTGACGTGTCAATCTGGACCCCGCCGTCCGCCAAGAGCCCGAACCCTCATCCCGCACCCATTCTAACCGTCGTTGAAACAGACAGCACAATCACAAAGACGATCCTTGATCGTTTATGCAGCCTTCTCGTAGTCACCATCATTTTGCTACTGTAACTACACTCGTCGCGGTATCGACGCTAGTAGTACGAATGATTGCAGTGACGGTGCTGATATTCGCAACAGCAATGTTACGACCAACAAAGCTTAAACTACCTCAGAAGCATGCCGGGGCCTCTGTTGATTAGGTTGAAGTGGGCGGCGGCTGCTTGTGACTCTGGCGAGGCAGGAGAATTGGCTGTTGGAAGGGCCCACGGTTTTGGTGTGTGGGCTTCTATAGAGCTCATTTAGATATGTGAGGGTTTATTTGGCTTTCTTCAGAGTCGATAGGGGGTTTCTAGTTCGTATCTGGGATTGAAGCTGTGAGGGCACGCAGACGGAACATCGTATGATGCTATGTTGTGCTATCTTATCTTAGCTTACGTGATTTTTAATGATACGGTCTCACAGAATATCATATTGTAGGAGATAACTATGCTACTATTTTGTTCTCCTACAGCATACTATACTGTACTATGCTATACTATGACATAAAGACACCTCTTCAGCTTGAGAGGAGTGAAATTGTCCACATGCATCTTATAGTTGTATGGGGATTAGAATGGAAAGGAAGGTTAGAACTCATCGTTCCGGGCCTCTATGTTGAGATGACAGCTGAGAGTTTTTTTGCGTATGCGCCGGTCTTCGCTTGGCCGAGCTATCCGAGTCAAATCTATCCTGGTATGAGCTTTCGGTCTTGATGGAAGTTCTCTGTCGCAAAACGAAGTGTTGCACGACTCCTCGGGCATCGTTTCAATATGAGTGTTTGAAACTCCCACAGGATTCCGTCACTGACAAGCTGAAGACCTCGGATGCGGTCAGGCACGCGGGGCTAAACTCAAAACTTGCGGCACTCTCGCTGCGACACTTATGGGTTCGGTACTTCGTCTAACAGGCATACAGAATTCCAGGTATGCCCTCTTCGTGCTGGCTGGATTGATCTCCATCTCCAAGAAGCGCACGAGCGCAGAGGAGTCCGACGATGAAGAGAGGAAGCTCGGCAAGAGTCCTCGGACCCTTCCTTTCAATCTACTGTAGCATACTACCTACTACTACTACTACTACTACTACTACTACTACTACTACTACTACTACTACGACTACGACTACGACTACGACTACGACTATTACTATGATGAGGATCAAGACTCCAAGAGAAGAAACCCGCAGAGGCCGGAAGCTGCCGCGAGTTTGGCCGCCACGGCGCTAGAGACGTCCGGCGAGGACTTGGAGAAGGTCAGTTGTGCGCGAAGTTTCAGACTAAGGGCTGCACCTCACAGGGACCCATTAAAGGGGTAGGGGGAGGGGGAGTAGGGGGCCTTAATGCCCACAATAAGAACTAGTAAGGCCTATTGAAGGAAGTATAGTCCCCTACCCCCCTAAGGGTCCCTATGATGCACCCCATACTGCAAAGTCCATCTTGATGCGAGCTGCAGTTGCGCAGGTTTACGGATAAGAGGGGCCTTGCTTTCAAGAGCTCGTGGTTGAGATATTGGTTCTGAAATGTCCTTATGAAGGAACCATGTTCGTAAGCAATGTTTAAAGCGTCTCATGTCGATATTCTGAAAGTTTGGAGACTGGACGCATCGAGTCCTCCTGGGTTGCGGATGCGAAATGCAGATACGGCTTGAAGGCTCACTTGATGTGGATTTCTCGGTCTTCTGCCAGCAGGAACTTAGTGAGGTAAAAAGCGTCTTGAACATGTTCGTTCTGTTTGCTCCGGCATAAACTAAAGTTGTGTAACCTGCTCTGTTATTCCACTGTTTTGGAATGCGTGGTCAGGGAACTAGGTTCGTAACTGCTTTCCCTGCTCGCCCGTGTCTGGATTGGCAAGACGTCGGAAATACTGCACAAAAGACCGGGATTGGACGAAGCCCTCTACTCCACTCCCTACTCCCGAAACCTCTTGAACCCGCACCCCAAACCCTATAGGCCCCAAAGCCAAGCCCAGAACCAAGACCGGCACAGGTTGCCGCTTGGTACTGCAAAGAGCTGCAGCTTCCGGAAGCCTGGAATGTCATCGGCCTCCTCCGAGAAGGCCCGGAGATTGCGATGACCCCGAGAGGATCTAGAAAGTGCTAATTTGGGGCCCTATGCTACTAAGGATACTTTACAGGAACCCCCAGTAAGGGATCTACTTTTTGGATCCTCCAAAGGGGGTCTGGGATTGCGAGGAGAAGAAGAAACTAAAGCATACTAGTAGCATACGTTAGTGTACTTTATCATGAATCTACTGTAGCATACCGTGATGTGTTGCGTTCTACGATGAGTTGAGGTAAGGTTCGGGTTGCGTTTAGCCTTGCCGAGTTCGGCGGGGCTCAGAGCATCATTCCAAGAACCCCGGGTTCTATGGAGGTTTATGGATTTGATAAGGTTTCATCCGGTTTTATGGGTTTGGCAGCGTTTCATAGGGTTTTCATAGAAGGGTTTCGGTGATCGTAAGAGTTCTTACGCGTAAACATTCGTTCGTATAAGGGTTCGGAAGGGGATCTTGGAGTAAATGTGTCCCAAAACACGATTCAAATAACTCAGGCCCTTACATTCCACCGCAAACCCTGAAGCCTCTACTGATTTGTGAGTTTCAGAAAATCAGGAAGCCCCACGAAAGACCCCAAAGTACCAAATGTTTGACATGAGTGAGGACTCCGACGAAGATCCAGAATCATCAGAAACCCCAGATCCCCTTGAAAACGCCGAAGAAACCTTGTATCAATCTCTTCACTAGATGATCCCAGTTCTCAGAAGTTCCCATTTCAGGTCTTTCGGGGGGGGGCCTGACGGACATCCTTTTCTCCGGCGGAGACCTAGTTATCAAGACGCACGGCTCCAAAGGTTGTAGGATGGTTGAGTTCACGTTTTTGAGTTCGGGGTGTTTTAAGGCTTGGGCCTTGGCTTCTGGAGTTCAAGGGCTCAAGACTCAGAGGTTGAATCAGAGGTTTAGGAGTGCGACCGGAATGTTGGTGGTTGGGTATGCTGGTGCGCTTGCTGGCCTCTGCCGGAGAAGTACCCGCCGTCGTGTACTCGGTGCCTTCCTCTCAACGAAGAGTCTGAACTACGAGGTTTTACCGTCGCCCCGATTGCTGATGGAGTGGAGGGGTGCTAGGGACACGAAGGCAGTTTTTGCAAAGGGCTTCTGGGTTTTACGCGGTTTCCCGGATCCCTGCTCCATGCGGAATCTGCGACATGTTAATCCTGCAGCACAGCTCAACGGATGGGTTCGCGACGTGGAATACATGTCACGTCCATGGCCTGCACGTGGCTGCCCCTCAAGCACATATGTGAGCAGCCTGCACAAGCCTTGCCAAGCGATAAATTAACATGGCACCGTCCTGTCAACTCGGTGCGTGTGACTACAGACAGGGCCGCCTTTTGCCAAGGAAAGAGGTGCCCAAGGACCACGTTTGGTTCCAGTGGGCCGAAGGCCCCATCTCTTCTACTTCGCAGCATGCGATGATCCTGCATGTCGTTGTGTTTTGCACCTGCTTATTTCTAGCGGGTTCTTGTTCTTCGACCCCTGGAATTCCAAGAGTGCACAAACCTATAGCTCTCGTGGTTCTTTCCGCGAGTGGGACTGGCTCGGTCCTGCATCCAAACAGTTGCGACGATGATGATGGTGAAGAAGATGATGAAGATCAAGATGATGATGATTAATATTATGATTATGATGACGATGGTGATGATGGGGATGTTCATTTCGGATTTACGACAGTCTTTTGTCGAGGTGCTGTGCAAACAAAGGCCCACAAAAGATCCGATTGAACATCTGGTACAGATGGCGAAAAAACCTTAAACTTTCGGGTTTTCACAGCTTGGTTTGTCGAGCTCTCAGGATTGCACAGAGTCCGATGATGGCAGGATGCTGCCAACGAGAACCTCCTCCGCGCAGCCTAGGTTACCGCCCCGCAAAGGCAAAGCAAAAATCCATGCATTTCCTGCATTGCCAAGTTCTGCAGGCCTTTTCGAGGCAACGTTCCTCCACATCTACACCCGGGACCGTCACGGCGAGAATGTTCCTGAAGCCTTGCGTGTCAAAGACATGCAGCAGGCGAAACTGGTCGATGTTTATTCAGATGTTTCGAATGCAGTCAGCCCAGGAGATTCCATTACATTGGTCAAAGGTTCCTTATGCCGGATCAGAGTCCTCAGTCAAGGCATGTTGGAGTCTGGCAGGCACTTCCGCCGATCCGACTCAGTGTTCCTTCATGAAATCACTCGAACCTGCAAACATGCGGAGGTGTTTTCGGGATTCTCGTCTCAAGCCAACCAGTCTCGCTAGGCGAAAATGCACCTGTCAGTGGCAGGGCAACACTGAAAACCAAGCTCCCGCTGGTTGTAGTGTCCTGATTGGGGGGAATTTGCTGCGGGGCTCACTGGCGGAGGTTTTCAATTGCGGCAGCTGGGGAGAGTACGCACGGCGGCGACAGAGCGTGCAGGAGGAGCTTGGACTGTTGATAGTACTGTGATCGAGCAGGCGTTGGGATTCTTCACGCAACTGATGCCCTTGAGCCCTAGCCCCCTTTATGGCCCCACGAAACCTGGAACCCTGCTTAGGCTGCGCTGTGTTCAAAACGTGGCATGCTGATGTGGAGTGAGACGGAGGGAGAGAGGAGCAGAGAGAGAGAGCTTCGAGGTGGAAAGGAAGGGGTACGTGTAGGCTACCGAAACCCATACTTAGTTGGAAGGCACAGTCAGCTTCTTCCTCAGGATGTTTTTTATCGCTCAATCAACCTCCCGGTTTCCCGCGTATGGTGGGACAAGCCTTATCAACCTCCAGCTCCTCCACCTACAGCTGCTCAAATGCCTGGCATCAGGGAAAGCAAAACGAAGTATACCCAAGAGGAAGTAGAGTACGATGTGACATCAAGAACCTGGTCGGTCCTTGTTTCAAAGCGTCCTATCGTCAACCCATCCAAAGCGATCTCCAAGGGGAGGGGTTCAAAGGTTTCAGAGCTCCCTGCGAAGAACAATAAGTCGACGGTCTCGGCTTCATGGCATAGGATTTACGGCTCGCTTCGGATTTAGGGCAATACTCCAAGAAAGCCCAAACTAGCAGAAAGCTGGCGCAGGACCTTTTCAACAAAGGTGCAGCATGGCTGGAGGAGTTGAAGACAGACTCCATGCCGCAAGTGGCGGCATAGGGATGCATTTACATGTCTGGATGGATAATCTGTGGACCTTGGCCAAGAGCCTCCACTCACGCGTATGACTATGTGCCTGGCCAAATGTCATCCAATCTGAGGACCCTTGTACAAAAGGTGAAACCCCGACCTGGCATTTGTCTGGGGTGAAGTCAGCAGCGTGGCCGCACACCATTTACCTTGAGAGATTCTGCCTAGCTCGTCGCAGCAACCTGCAGCTTGCCGAAGCCCTTAGTTCTGGGATTGGTGTGCTGGAAGGACTTTTAGTGCATTTTGGGGCCAGACTTAGGTCGCCAATGAGCACTGGCTTTACCACGGCACTTCTCTGGCTGGGGAGGAAGGGATCACGGAAGGACACGTCCTCAGAGTTTGCTCTGGTGCTTTCTTGTATTGAAGCTATTTCAGAAAGACGATTAGGGGAATAGGGGGCCTCAATACCTATAATAAGGACTTAATAAGGCCTATTTAGGGGAGTATAGTCCCCTACCCCCCTCCCCCCTACCCGCCTAAGGGTTCCTATGACCATGGGTTCTTCGTCAACCTTCGACTGCCGCATCGAATCGAAGCCAACATTAGGGTCCCAAGCAGGCCTTGCAGCATTGATTCGCAGGTTTGAAAAAATCGCTCCAGCTTGAACAAGCAGTAGCAGTTGTAGCAGTAGCAGTGGCAGTAGTAGTAGTAGGCAGGAGCAGTAGTAGTAGTAGTAGTAGTAGTAGTAGTAGTAGTGGTGGTGGCAGTGGTGGTAGCAGCAGCAGCTGATGCAGCAGCGCTTTTGCATCCGGATCACCGCGTCCAGTTCTTTCGTGAGCTGGCGATGAGCGTTCACATGTCATCTGTAAGTCTATGCGGAAACAAGGCAAAGCTAAATGCAGTCAGAGATCACAACAGCAGTTTCGATGTTACGTGGACACTGGAGTAGCCAAGCTTCCGAAGATCGAAAGTTTGGTAGTTGAGACTCTCCTTCTTGCTTTCCAGTTTTGGGAGCAAGGGCCTTCCAAGCGGTTGAGCAAGGGGAGCCGACAAAGATCTGCCTTTTGTCACCAGTCTTGAAGGGAACGTAATATAGCTCCTTCTTGTGCCAGGAGCCACGTGAAGCAGTTTCATTTCTCGGAGAGTTTAATTGGAAAATTATACGCATTCGACACGGGTCAGTGTGATGGAAAGCATTTGAGAACCTGAAGATACTCCCAAGCCTCATCCCGAAACCACCGAGCCAACGAAGCCGGCGCATGTCTCGGAGCAGGAGACTTCCGGCTAAATCTGGCTGGGAGCAACGCCGGGACGCTTTACGGCCGGCCCTGTGTTGGACGGAGGGTTGAGCCTTCCTCGATAGTCGCGCCGTGAACAAGCCCGCAAAATATTTGGGATCTTTGCCACCGGTACAATCACACATAAAGAAGTCGGGATCGCGAGTGTTCTAGAAAGATCTTGCATCATGTCTCTACAGGAGGCAACGAGTACTAAGGAGGAACCTCGGGGGCAAGTGCGCTTGTGGCTGTGCTGAGTGAGACTATGCTTCAGGAGGGAAGGCCCGCATCATTCAACAACATCTTCAATTTGAGGATGCAAACGCTGGTTTGCCTGGACTTTTAACGGTTTACGAGTCTGCTGCTTGAAGAAAAGTCTTTGCAGAGATATTTCCAAAGCCAAATCCACCCTCTACTGTGGCATAGAGATCCAAGCAAGCTGTATGTGACAAGTTGTTTAAAGATGGTCCGTAGGTTTCTGCGTAAACGGTCCATGTGCTTGCTGAACATACATTGGAACATGCAGGGCTTCCAACGGCCCAGTTCATACCACAACACTCGTTGCACAATTCCTGCAGGGAATGGTGTCTACCTCGCAGAGGCGCGCGTCGGCAGGAGAAGTGCCAGCATCAGCATGAGATGGAATTGCCAAGCACTCCTGTACTTTGTTGCCTTTTGTAAAACTACAACATATAGGATATAAAACCAAGATCCGCTGAAGCCTTGGTCCCAGAATTGCGAGGCTTTCCCAAGGGATAGGGCATGATAGTCGGTCTTGGAATCCGACGGGACGGGAGTTCACTAGCCAGCGTCCAGAGCTTGTCGCAGATTCGGACACGGAGGCCGCGCGCGGATGACGTAAGCGGGGAGACGAAAGTGAAATTTGAAAACGCAGAGCCAGGACTTCATGCTATCTTCTGTTCCCTTTGTTTCTGTGACCGTGGACAACGCAAGAATCAGTTGCTTGGCTTCTGGACAAGCGCTGCAGGCTGTGTCGAAAAGCGACGAGTACACCACACCGCACAGCGACGGCTGCTCGGACGAAGTTCGAGAGACCCCACCCGGTGAGAATTGCGTTTCGAAGGCGTCTGGTACATTCCCCACCGAAAACCACAAACAGTAGGATCCCCACAAAAGGAATCGTAAAACGGAACGCCCAGGGTTTTCTGTGTGACCGACCTAATCCCTGGCTTCCGGCAACAGCACTTTGTTGCTCTCTGCCCCTCGGGTAGGCATAATAGAGGTGCCTGCGTAATCGTTTCAAGACCTTCTTGACTTGTACTAGAAATATCCTCAAAACCTACCTTTCGGGTCCTTGTTTAATCATACTAGAGTTTACCCCCAAACCCTGTTCATGACCAACAAACTACTCAATAATTAGAATAGGGTTTTTGGGGCCCATTATACTATAGTTTTAATCAGGAACCCCCAAAATAGTATAGGTAATTATTAAGGCCCCTATGTTACCTGCACGGTTTGTTTGACAGAGCCGAGGTTGGCTTCTTCAAGAATCCTCGTTTGCGTGTGCCGTTTGTAATTCGTCTAGTAGATGTTAGAATGGTCGACAGATGGCTGTATTCCGTGCAATCCTTGAGTTCATTGAGGTTTGATGGGTTTGTCAAGGTCTTCGCAGCATCCTCATCTGCCTCAGCACTTTGGGGCGAGTGCTCCCCAGCTGCAATAGAAGTTTGACCAGTGTCGCCGTCGACACCTCCCGACCTTCGCGTTGTTTCCCACCTCGGCGCTGCAAGGCTCTTGCCTGTCCACCAAAATATGCTCTCAATTGCTTTGAGCGTTTGGTGATGGCATGCATGCACTAGGCCGCCAGGCCAAATGTTTGAGTTCGTTGGGAGGTAGGAAGATGCTCGGCAAAGGAGGCTCTAGGGAGAAGCAGGATGAGGAAGAACATCGCCTTTGCAATGAGCATCCCCCACCGCCCAAACTGACTTCACGACTTTGACTCCACATGACTGTGGTTTCAGTGTTGCGTGCGTAGTCTGAGTGGGCCATTAGTCAAAGCACCATCCTCTCGGACAACAGTCAAGCCTGCAGCCCATCAAAACCATCAGTCTCATTGTGTTAGGAATTACAACGATCAGAAACGCCCTGATGGTGATGAGCTTGCCGACTCCTGCAAAGAAGGCGAGGCAGCCCCTGAAAGCTGGAACTTCAGGTGATTTTCTTAGTGCTGAATTGAGGAATGTTAAGTTTTGCTGAAGAATGCATTCATGATCACTCATGCAGAGGCATTTCTTCTGCAACAGGAAAGTTGGAACTTTGCCTGCCGTTTGATACAAGCATCCGTGAGATGTATTGCAAGAGAAGCGGTCATTTCCCACAGTTGTCCGGACCCGACTGTGTGTTGAGGATTGGGGCCCAGATGTTAGGCATTTTCGAGCTCTGACTCTATTCTTAGAGCACTTGCGACTTTCCACATCACGAATCGCTGCCTTTGTGGATATCTCCTACTTGTTGTCACACAACTTTCAGCAAAGGCCATGCCGTCGACGTGACATACACGAGAAAAGCACACTCGTAATAGGATGCTTGGACTGGAGTGTGGGCAGGATATCTTGGCTTCGGGAAAAGGAGGAGCACTTCCAAATATTGTCACCTGCATGCAGGTGGCTTCCACAGCATCCTGGGAGACCGGGAGAAAATCCGTGGAACGCGGCGCCCTTACGAGGAAGCAACGCATTTCGAGTATGAGGAGTAACTTCATCCGGCCAAGGTACCGTGAGATCGTGGTTTTCAATGAGAACCAAGTTTATCCTGCATACATCTGCCGCTATGAACGAGTTCTGAAGAAAGAATAGACAACCCACTGTTTTTAAGCTCGCTGGGGCTGTCGGGGTGTTATGTAACATATGTCAAGGCGCAAGACAAAAATTGTCCTGAGCGCTTTACTGCCACGCTGCAGAAGGCAAAACCCTATATAATTTTAAAATACACATGCATTAACGTTTTTTTATATCTTTGCCAACATCTGCAAATAATACCACCGGAAATCATCAAACAGTGAAACGGTATGCCAGCATGCCATTAGGAGCCAAAAAATTGACTGGTACATGCGGACTAGTGTGGTCAGCGAATAGCCACCACTTCTGCATTTCATATCGCCGCTCACAACGAGGATCACGACAAGAATTGTCATTGATTTATCCATTCAGCTGTACCTATCTGAGTGGTTATGTTAATTTCAGGCTCGTGTTACGTATAGTATATTTTCTCGGAGCGGTGCTCCATCTCATCTCATCATCGTTAGTTTTGGCAGCATTCTCGCTCTTATTCAAAAAATATGGACTGGTAGATGTTTCATTTTCAAGCTTTCATCTATAGTTGCTTGTGAGATCCATGATCCTGAAAATGTATGTTCTTCTGTAATTATTGTCGTTTCAGAAGCACAATAGTAGTATTAATAAGCGGGCTATGGCTTTGTATAATTGATTCTATTGTCTGTAATTATCGAAAGATATATCTATCATAGAATAACTAATCGAGATTATTCGTATAATTTGGATTCAGATATAAGAGTACAAACAGTATGGTGAAAGTAATATCTATAATGGAGGTATATCGTATAAACATCTATATATTTTGTTTGGCTGGGATTCTTGTAAAGTTCTTATACTTAATTCATTGAGTTCCGCAAAATATTAATAGAAGGAAATAAGTACACAAGAATTATATGTATTGAAGTGCTTCTAGTTATCTATATGAATGCAAAAGAGTATTAGCAAAGAGGATAAGATAACGTTTTTTATGTAATCATGCTATTTAAAAATGTTTATTTTCTGTTTGGGCGGGATGATTTTACATTAAATGAATTTGAGTTCGTTTTCTGAGGTGTTTTAATTTCGTGTATTTATTATTTGAGTCTGAAATTCTGAAAAAAATTAAAGGCTTGGTATCCTACATGAGTATGTCTGGGTAAAATGGTG